GTATCCTCTTTGATGATGTATAACCGTTATAGGTCATGTAGAGCACTAAAGAAAGAAAAGCTACCTATAATGAAAAACCTGAAAGGTTTTGTTTGCAAAACATGCCCTAATTTATTTTATTTGCAGATCCTTAAAGCTCATTATCTTCTTTTGACCATACTTAGCCCTCCAAACATCTAACCTGTGGTTTTGTTTGAGGACTAAATCCATACTGTACAGCTTCCCTTCTGTGTCTTATATAAATACATGTATTGACAACTTTTAAAAATCATTATCTAAGAAAAACTATGAAGTAGAAATAATTCCTTGGATTCCAGGTTTTTTTGTGAGAATTACAGAATCAGTAGGGTTGGAAGGGACCTCTAGAGATCATCTAGTCCTACTGATAGCATCTTCAAATAAAACAGAATAGCAAAGCAACTGATGGAAAGGCAGAGAGAAGCTGCACTCTTGATGCACACAAAGAAAGCAGATCAGCATGCAGGCATCTCTGAGAACTACAATGAGAAGCACAATTCACATTTCATTTTCAAGAACAGACTCAGAATCTCAGTGTCTCTGGATTTCTGAAAGTCTGCAATCAATGTGGTAGTGGTCTGAAGTGAAGCAACCTACTGCAATTTCTTCATCAGTTTACTTCAACACACAACTTTGCCAAGAGAAAAGCTCTGCAGAAGGGAAGTTATTCATATAGTGAATATTGCTAAGTGAATATTGCCAGGAGGAGCAAAACCTGGCCCAGATCCAGCTGCCTCTTGAGGGGGTGGGGTGTGGCAGGGAGGGATGAAGGGAGGGGAAGGCACAGAAGATACCTGTGCAAGACCTGGCAGAGTTCTGAGCTACTGATGGGTCTGGCAACTAGAGAAGGGGACAAGATATGATGGGAAGCTGGCCTCTGAAATCACCTCTGAAGGGTGACTGTTCTCTCCACCCTTAATTGGTTTGATGTATTTGTTCAACCACCCTATTTGTAAGCAGACACATACACTTTCAAAGGCAAGCTAGCAATTTAAACCAAAAACCCACTCCTTTGATTCACTAAATGTTAGTCCCCTGGGTTGTAATTTTATTACAGTGTAACAGCCTGATTTTTAACCAAAAATAAATTACAAATCATGCCAATTCCAACAGAACTGAAGGAAATGTGAATATATTTCTAAAGGTCACCAAAAAAAAACCAAAGCAAACCCACAGACATTAATGTTTTCTGATAGATTTTACACATAATTATAACATTTTACAATTTAAAAAACTTAAAGCAGAAAGTCTTTTTATCCGAAGAAACTGGCACAAAAAGAATACTTCTACTTAAAAGTTTCACAACTATTACTAGACAGACATTAAAAGCAAATGTTAGAACTTTTATAAACCAGTAAGTATAAACAGTTTAGTTTGCTATGTTTGCTCCTGGGAACCTGTGGCTCCTCATTAACACAGAGCACTGTCTTTTCACTACCCATAAAGGTTCAAAAATTCCTTACTATTTTTCATGCAAGATTCATATATGTCCAAAGACTCTGAAGCTATTACAAAACAAATTTGTCATCATTTCAGGTGAGAAAGACAAGGTCCACATCACACAAAGAGCTCTGGAAGAATAAGGAGGACAGGGGAAGTCACAGAAAGCAGAACCTTCTGAGAACAGCATCCTCCCTCTTACAAGATGAACTTATAAGTATAGACAACTAGTTCATCCCATATTCAAACACTACACACCATGAGCCAAAATATTAAATTCTACTAAGTGCCATCAGGTCCAAGACAATTACTGTTCTCTTGGATACACAGATCAGAAGAGAACTATCACCATGGATCCAAACCCAGCACCACACTGTTGCCAACAACAAAGATAGCATCATTATGTGGGTCAAGAACAGGACTTTACGTGGTAATGTAGGTACAGGAATATATAGTGTTTCTGTGTTAACAGACCACGGTGGTATTCACCTTTACATTCTAAAAACTCAAACATGGAATAGCTGACTTGTTACTCATGATTTGTAGCATCTCGTTTCAAACCATCATGGCTGCAAGAAAACTAAGGAAAGGTCTGTAAAGGTGCCTATGGAACAACTGCTTCCTCTTTCAATATAGAAGCTAACAGGCATCTAACAAAATTGGAATTTGCCATTTCAAAGCAAACCAAATCATATGAGTAGGTTGGGTTTGTAATTGCTGCAGATTCCAAAACTTTGTGTGGAAAGATTGAAATAATATCTTCACACCCCCACCCTGAGGCTATAATGCTGTGTTCTTATATTCCTCCCCACGTTTCTGCTCTCAGTCATCCTCTGGTACACAAGTCAGAGTCAGGTATTTCGTTTGATGTGGGATCACTGTTATGCTCCGTTATGCTCTTTTCATGGGAAATATGTTGCAACAAGGCTGCTTCCAGTGTTTTCAAGCCATATGTTGTAAAAGATATTTGGCTCCAGCTGTTGCCCAACTCATTCAAAATGCAGCAACCAGACAATTTCATTTCTACCCAAAAAGTTTAAATTCACACTTCCTTTTCTTCTAAGAAAGAAGAATCTGCTTCTGACCTGCTTTCCCAGTTGCAAAGTATGTATTTTTAACTTAAATTGTCAAAACAAACCCCAACTTGGGGAAAGTGTCAGAAATTTTTATTCAGCTATTTTTAATGGAAGCTAAAGAATAATAGAACAAGCATAAACCTACCAATAGAACATACTTAAGCATTTTCTATGTCTAATTGAGAGAGCTGCTGAGGAAAGTGGACTATCTGGCAGAAGCTGTTGTGCCAGACAGTTTCATAGACTGGTGATGTGGAGAGAAAGTTATCCCAGATTTTTCTTCAGCAGTGACCAGAAATAATTCTCTTCCACTGCACCCTTTCTTTTAAACTCCTCCCAAAAGCATAATGTTTTAAAGAACATTTAAACAGGCTGTCTCGGGTACATCACAGAGGCTGTTTCCAAGCAATGTGGAAAGATAACATCTGTATGATCCAGTTTATTAGTTTTGCACCAATAGCAGTGAAAGCTCATCTGGAAAAGCACTTTTCAACTCTTGAAACACAGTATTACACACACGGTATTAGTGAGCAATTTAGCATTTTGCAAATGCTTAAGATAGTGCAACCCATCTTCTGTGCTCTATAAAGAATCTAGAGCAAAATTTTAGGAGTACCTCACAAATTTCATTTCAAATACATACAGCACTGACATAATGCAGCATAAGCTGATTTTTAAACTTCATTACAATAAGTTAAACTCCACTTCTCATAAATATGCACTCTATTTTAATCTCAGCGTTCATATTCCCTAACAGATTTTTTTCAGTTGATTAGAAGAAAAGGGTAGGGTTACCTTACATGGTCATTTTGCAAGGAACATAAGTTATGGTGTCAGCCATCCTGTATTCATTATGCTTACATTTTGTTTACTTTCTTGCATGATCAGCTATACAGGGTTAATGTGTGTTTGTGAATGGTAACTATTCTAAGAATCATTATTTTAAAGGGGAAATCATCTTACAGAGTCAGGAGACACATAGTCATTGTCTAAAGGATCACTGTGTGGTTTAAGTATTTTATATATGTCACAAATACATTATTTCTCAATTTTTAGTGTGATTTTTGACAATTAAGGAGTTGTATGAAAATGTAACTGCAAATTATATACGAGCAAACACTTGAATTCCTTATAATAAATCCTAGATAACATGGAATACAGGAGCCAAACAGGTGCTAAGGTGAAACAACTGGATGAAGTAATATTTGTAGGTTTTTTCAGGTTGCTTGTTTGATGAGGTGACCCCTTTCCCAAACATGGTAGGGAACCAGCAATGGTTTGGGACTTTTTTTTTTTTCCACAGTTACATAGAGACCAAAAATACGTAGCTATATTTTAGTATCTCTAGAATCGCATATATCAAGGCTAAAGATACTAGTGTATCTCTAAATGATCATTGCAGAGTATATTTACACCTCAGCTTCTTGTTTGCTCCAAATAGAGGTCAAGAAAAGCTGGGGGGAAAATTGCCCCAAAATATACCTGACATGGATTTTTATTTCAAACAGAAAAACAAACCACAGAAAAGTAAGAATGTATCCTTTATCCTTTTTACAGAAAGTGGTAATGACAAAGGTTAGTGTGCTACAAGGGTAGCACAAAACACATTATTTATCTCAATTTTGTATTATGTGCAATGAATTTTCCAGGTAGCACGTAATTTCAGTCTGAACCCCTAATCCATCAAGGCATTTAATCATGAGTAACCTCACTGTCTTCAGTGAGCTACATGTCCTTTTTTTTGAGCAAATTATGCAAGTCCTCTACTGAGTCAGATCATAATGAGGAGTGGAAGAGCAGACGTCCTCCAACCCACAGTACTTCCTGGGCTTGGAGCACTTAATTATGAAGGTACCTTCCCTATCTCAATCCTGTGACAGAGTTTCTACAGACACAGTTTTAGTAGTATATTAACCTGTGAACTGCCTCTTACCATTCTTGCATTCTTTTCTCAAGTTCTGGAAGTAAGAATTTACTGTGGAAGGCATTTATCGATGAAATGTTAGAAAAGATTTTGTTAATGACTTCAGCTGGAAATGAACCTCTGTTGGCTTCCTCAAGGAGTCTGGAATAGAATACCTGCAATACAAAAAGAGAGCCCCAAACATATCAGCCAATTATCTTTAATTAATGGAAGATCACTTATGCACCCCTTTTATCCCAACTGAAACAAGATTAATATTTCAATAATATAGACAGGCAATGACAAACTCATTTATTGTCTTTCCCTCACCGGAAGTAAAAGCATCTCTCCTTACGCCACACTTTTTTTAACTGTGAGCCAGGAAAGCTCTACAGGCAGAGTAGATGTAAGGAAAGCCAAAGTGAAGTAGTGGTATTCTGGATTGGCTCCAGGCATTGTGTCTGTTTTAACAGCTAGATCATCTCAGCTTTCCTAGTTTTCTAGTTGTGTTTTCCATCCTTGCTTTCTTTTCAATTAGCATGATCTCTGATCACCATTAATCCAGCCACTCTCCTTGTATGCTGTATGCTCTCACCCCTTTGAAATCAAAGTAATTGCAGACTATGAGCAGTCTCCACACACCATTTAAAGCCTCAAAGGGCCCACATTCTGATTGGACTCTACTATAATCTCTTTTTTAAAAAAATATATTCTTTCTCCATCAGTGGGATCTACCTGACCAGATACAGATACAAAATCTCTAGAGACACGTGCAGCTCTTAATGTGAAAATAAAACAGTGGTTATGGGGAGCTCTGGTCCTTCTACCTCCTTCTCCTGTGTTTGAATAGACTGCATGTCCCTACAGGGGGCTTCAGGTGTTTGAGCAAAGGCTAGGGAAGAGTCCAGAGATAGGAACTTTGATCATCTCAACTGAGACGGCAGAAGTATCTTAAAAAGAAAAAAGCCATATGCTTTTACATATCCTTCAAAACATGCTTGCCATGCTACATCTCCAAGAGGACAGTTAGTTAATTTTGACAAGTTACTTTGAAGACCATAAAGGTTACACAACTTTTTAAACCAAGTTTAGAAACATAATAGTCCCTTCCAAGTCTCCTAATTTCCTCTCATTAGCAGCAGTTGAGCAGTTTCAGAACTCTGTCCAGTTAATATTTGGCAAACCGGCATAGGAGTGATACACTTACGATCACATCAAGGAAAATAATTGTACATTATCCATCAGAAAAACCCATGAATTAAGTAAACATTTTCCTTCTTTATTTTTAAACTTCTCTAAATCAAAGCTCTTTTTTTCTGTAAAACTGTGTCCTTTAAAACACACTCTATAGCCGTTCCAATGTGGATCTGCTAGGTAAATCCACTTTCATGAGGACAGTTACATACATCCCCAAGCAGTCTGAGCAATTATTCTAACAATTGAGACTTTTTACTTTCCACCAACCATTTTTGCTAGACTTACGTGTTAGACCTGAGAAATTTAAACAGCCAAGTCTGAGAAAAATGTGATGGAGTAAGACAACACAAAGCTAAGGGCATCCAGGTAAAACTGATGCATTATGTGAAGAAATAAACAAGACTTTGACAGAAAAATACTCAAAACCTACAAACATTCACATTTAAGAAATATCAATTTGATTCTACAGAGCACAACAATTCAACCCTTTCCTTGCAGAGTAATTTCTGTTCATTTCAATAGGCTTTAGTCTGAACGTATAGTGTGAAAATAGCTTAGAATAGGCATCTTCCCAGGTTCACGGGCACTAAAGAAAAACTTTGATTGGGCGGCTCAATTTTGAAAGATTTAGTAATTTGTTAGTGGGTGGGTGATTTCAGTTATATAAAATGGTACTCTTCTCCATTTCACCAGAAGCCAAGAAATGGTTATCCATCCTCTGTTGGAAGGGCTATTGATATGCACTACTACTGCTTATGGTGACATCTATACACGCGGAACATATTACATTGATATCCATAAAATCCTAATGCTTTCACGAACACTACATTTTTAAAAGAGAAACATAGGCAAAGGTATGTGGGAGGAGCAAATGACTGAAAAAGTCAGCAAAATGTGAAAAACATGCCACCTTTTATGCAATTTATATACACACTTATGCATAGCCATTCAAGTGAATTCAAGGCAAGACAATAAAAACAAATTGAAGAGAAACATACCCCATCTAGGAGGTCAAGGCGACTAACGTAGGCTTTTTCTGTTTGCAGAAGTTCACTGGCAATTTTGTGACGTTTTTGCTCATCTGTCTCCTAGAGGAAAACAAGAAGAGCTCTTAGAATACAGGAGGAAATGCAATTTATTATTTAAAAAATTGAAAAGACATATGGTTACCTCACAATCCAAAAAGCAACCAAAATTCAAGTTTCACATTTAGTAATAGATGCACCATTTTGAAAAATACAAACTTTCCAGCAGTTTAATCAAGAAATACAGAAGTCCCAGAAGGGTAAAAAAATCAGTCAAACAGCAGAGCAAAATTCGAAGCCTAAAACTTTTAATATTTCTCCATTTGTACAGGGATCTTTGCCAAAGCACCACTCAGCAGATCAGCTCATATCCTGGTAATCGAGTACCACTGACCTTTCAGAGCTGGAAGAACTGATTTGCCAAGTAAGAGGGAACAGATGGGACTAGTCGGTGTTCGCCCCCACCCCGATTTCAAAAGTTATTTGAACCGCATGTTCTTTGCATGACAGGATTATTGAAAAATACCATGCAAAATGTTCTGTGTTCATCAAAACACTCATTGCTGATTAATTGTTGACTGCAATTAGAGGGCTTCTTCGTTATGTCTTTATGGAAGTCACTTATCTTAAGGGAAGTTTTCGCTTCAAAGTCTTTCATTCCACAAAATACATTTTTGATTCTTCTGCTGAATGGAAACTTAAAATGTTCATTCAAATTTCAATATTAAACTAAATATGTTAGAATATAAAATTGTGAGTTACTGTGAGAAGTTACTGCAAAACAATGAAAACAGTCTTCTACAATATTAAAACATTAGGGAGATGCCTCAGGCTCACAAGTGACAAATTCAACAAAATAACACTTCCATTACAAGATTTTTTTCTTCCACATTTAGAAGTGTTCACATCTAACAACATCCTAGTCTTTTCCTAAGTAAACAGCAGTCTTACCACAGTGCTTATGGGAAAGTGGCAACTTACTAGACAAATCATGGAAAAGCTTCATAAAAGAATAAAGAGGAGAGCTTGAGAGAGTCATTTCTGATTTCAAACTGCACACTGCTTTCCACAAGAGTATGATAAACATTTGCAAGTACATTTATAAGGGTGGTTTTCAGAGTAGTGAATACTAAAGTACAGTCTTTTCATTAAGGACTTCAGTGGGGTTTTTTCCCCTTTTCAATATTCAGTATTTCAAATCTGAACACATTTCAGTTCTAATCTGCAGTGTTAACAGTCACACTGTTTCATGGCAAGCCTCCTCCCTAAACACAGGCTTTCAACAGTGACTTCAAAGCTGTTCATTAAATCTGTTTAAATCAGCATAGCAACCACAGTAACCTACAGAACAGCATTTAAAGTGCTGTCAAGAGACATTGCAGGGAGCTGGAGGATTAGCTATTAATGGCTACAGCATGCCGTTTAGTGCAGCCATTTACAAGCAATCTCATATGTGGAATTGAGGCACAAAACCATGGGAGCTACTGGTTCCTTGGCTCTCTGAAGCACTGCTATAGAACCAATCTGCAATTTTCAGAAGATTACTCGAACTAATTAAGAGAGGGAAAAAAATCACACATAACAGACTCAAAGCTATCACATAAAATGAGCAATTAGAAAAAAACATTTAATTCTTACTCCTAACTCAGAGAAATCCCAGTACACTCTGACCCCAGCTTTCCCATCCCTTTCAGTACCAACATTTTGCATCTTCCTAACTCTTGAACCTCAGCTTTCTCTCTACAGCAATTGTGCTACCTGACACAAGAATCTTTTATGTGGGTAAAAAATACCCACCATGGATGATGTATCTTTTAATCACAGTGGCATGTTCTTATCCCAGCATAAGAACATCCACCTACAGGGTTAAATCAGTGCAAAAATAACACAAAACTGTATTGCTACTTCTATTTTAGGGACGCCCTCAGTATCCCACTCCACCATCTCAAGATTTGCCCACATATTACATGAACTCCCAGCTGGGTTTTCTGCTCCTAGCTCCAGCCTCCTCCCAAATCATTCACCCACTTCAGCATCTCATGTAGTACCCTATCTGTAGAAAAGCACTTGGTGTCTACAAGGTCACTCCAGCTTGAAAGCAATAGGTCCCAGGCTATTTTGCTAGTAGTGGCACCCACCTCCTGTGGAGCTTTTCTTGATGGAAGTGGCAGCTGCTTGTCCTGAGCACATGGGGTGAACTGGGACCAGATGCACGGGTGGGCACACAGGTTCTGGCAGCACCATACTATGCAGTACAGCACATTTGGTGAAAAGACTCACCAATTGCTCAAAGCCAGTGCTGCAGTTGGCATGTGCACATATGTGTATATATAACATATATGCATTTATTTCCAGCTTTCAGGGAATTCATCTGCAGCCATCCCAGCTCTGCTGCAGCACATACCACACTGTGCTGCACCTTTACCGCCAGCTGCCCACCCAGCCCTCCTTGAAGCAGGCATGCAGGAGCAAGCTATGGACTCAGGGGAGGCAGACTCCAAGAAGGCGCTCAGCTTCTGCAGACCTGAATTTGGCTATTCCAAGCAGAGGAAGAAAGTCTTACAACATAATTTGGAAATAAATCCTGAATAGTATTTGTGACAGTGAGAACGACAGAGCCATTAGTTATTAGAACTGTTCAACAAAACAGCCTTGAAAAACCTTGTAGAGGTAATGGAGGAATCTTCTTAAAGAAAATAAATTAAAAAAATATGGAAAACATGAAGTTAGTATTCAGCTTTTGAGAACTTCAATGTTTCCCTAAAGAACTATTGTATCAAATCTAATAATTAACACTAAAAGGGAATTTTAATACTCAAGTTACAGGTTAAGCTTTATTTTCACAGGATACAACAATAAATCCACACTTCTCTTCACAAGTAAGATAAAATAATAGAAATTAAAGATATGGACACATTTTTTCTGAAAAGTTTTATATTTCCCTCCTATGATTTCTTTATACTTTTAGTGTATCAGTATTTATAATGGTTTCCTTGCTGTTAAAAAATACTGAGGCAAAAATTTACTACAAGGTGTATGTGGGCATATCCTCTATCACTTCGTCAAAACTTCTCGATGATTTCCAGGAATATTTCAAACTTCCATGACAATCTGTAACACATGGCAACTCAATGTATAAGCCAAAGAGAAATGGCTACTGTGCTACACAGACAATGTTCAGATTAGAGGTATATGATTTTAACTGTTTTATCAAAATATCAGAAGTGAAATAGCAGTAGGTACATCAGGCAGGGCTGTAAACTTGTATCTCTGTATGGATGCTTACAGTAAGTACTTCACCTGGGCCTAGTTATGTATTCTGTATGAAATTGCACATCCTTAGAATCATCAAATATAAAATAAAAAATGCTTCAGAAATTCCAACAAGTAATTTTTACCTAAATTGTTCTTGAACTCTGAAATGAAGAAGTAATATGGAAAATGCTGCTGAGTATGAACTGTTTGTAGCTGTGTTCACATTTCCAAACATTGCTTTTTCCATTGTCCTAAAGTTGTAAATATTATGTTAATGTAAAGCAGCCTTTACATAAACCTAAATTCCAATATAGCCATAACTCATTCAAACCAAACAGGAGCTGTCTCCGATCAAGAAAACGATACCTACCAGCGTGACAGTGATGCTGTATATGATCCAATCCTATTTAGGTACAGCCCTTGCCCCAAAAGCTTTGCAGTAATATGTTAAGCAACCCAGGGTGAGAGATGTAGAGTATGAACAAATATCATTCAATCTATGTTGTGCTTGTTTGTTTGTAATGGTGAGTTTGGTCTAAACTAACAAAGTGAGCTTTTCTTTTCTAAAACAATTCATGTCACAGCTGCTTCATGATCCAAACAAAAGTTTTCTTCCCTAAGTATTAGGAATATAAATGTAAATTTCCAGGAGAATTTAAGATTTCCTTTAACCTCCCAAGTCCTCAGTTTCTGAAATCAAGGAAAGCACTATATTTCACAAGACCCGCAATGAAAATCCTGAATGACACCATCACCTTCTGGCATATTAACTCTATACAACAGCCCATTGCACAAATGATAGATGAATTTCTTGCAGAGCAACCAAGAAAAGCAGTAAAGATCCTGGTATACCTAAAGAAGCAGCTCTTCTCAAGAGGATTTATGAATTTATATTGGGTGCTAAAGACACACAGCTTTGTTCATGTTTTACTGTTTCTAAAGATGACCATAGAATTGTAGAACCAGTAGGAAGTTGGCAAAACCTCTCAAATGTTGCAATAGTAAAAAGTTTATTGGCAGGAAATTAACTTTGCAACAAATTTCACCCAATTTGAATCAAAACTTGACCTTACCTTTAGAAATATACCACCTCTACCAGGTTTTGTGTCTGAAATACCAGAGCCCGCAACACCACCATTGAAAGAAAACATCGAGCAAGGACTCCATGAAAGATGCGCAGTGGATTCTTCTCCATCTGTGGCATGCCTGCAGTCTATATCCCTGTTTCCTACCAGTCTCACAACAAACACCAAAGCATTTGTCTCCTTGTCTTCAGTTAGCTCTAGCAGCAGATTTCTCACAAGATGTTACTCAGGAAGTTAACTGACTGGAATGTTCTTATACTATTCAGCCTCCGCATTTTCAGCAGACCAAATTTTATGACAGAAGGTGCTCCTGCTGCAAGGCAGGAAACTTTTCACTTCTAATTGTCTTTTCGCTTGTGATACTGGTGGTTTGTGATTTTCAAATTAATTCAGTAAATAAGAGAAATAAAGCATGTTCTGGTCATTTGGGGAAAATGTTTCAGAACACTGCCAAATTTAAGATGTTTCATCTCAACTTCTCCAGAACCTACAATAATCTGACTTTAGTCAGATCTACAGTGATAAGGGGGTGGGGGAAAATAGTTGTAAGAGCAACACTATTTCAAAATAAGCTTTCTTTTCCAAGTCTAAAAAGTACTTTCTTCTCTGGTTTTGCACCATTCCCCAATTTAATTAACCATTTCATGAGTGGATTTAGTTTATTCCTACTGTATATGTATGTGTTTACAGAGATACAGCACCACTTGTTTTTTCCTCTTTCCTGAATTAGGAAATATGGCATGCAAGAGACAAGATGCTTTGCATTAGTATCAAAATATATACATATATCAAATGCATAATTTAAAGTTTGTGTATGACTCATATGCATCTGCTTGTATTGCTTTTACTTAACTGTACCAACACTTGCTTCATTAAACAGGTCAGAAGAGTGCTGTTAGTCTGTGCAGTGCAACTTCAGCTGGACTGCACCCCAGTTTTAAGATTCTTTACTGAAAAAGTAGGCGCTTAGCACAATCACAGAGTGTCTAAATGCTTTTACTTCTTCCATATTCCTGCTTGGATGCACAAACAGCTTAAAGCTTTACCAAACCACTCCTGTTCCTCATCACATTCCCGTATTACAGACAGCGTGACTGCAGCTACTCAGACCTCCACAGGGCCGATTTCAAACTGTAGGTTGCATTAATCCAAACCAAATCAGTGCGATTTTGTAAAGCGTGACCCTTAGATCAGTCTGTGGTAAACACTCTCCTTCATCTCTCTAGACTAAAGGGGATGTCCTTGCATCACAAATAAGCTTGTATCTCAGGAAGTGCTGCTGTGACCCAGTTCAGTTTTACAGATTCAGCTCTCCACCACTGCTGACTTAAGAGTCTTCCTGCATGGGTTTGGATTGTTTGGGGTTTTTACCCTTCAAGCACCAGCAAACAATACATCTAGAAGCAGTCACATTACACCTCACAATTTTACCCTTGGTCAATGTAGGACAGATCACATGTTTTGGCCCCAGCAGCTCAAAGACAGATTTTGATGAGATTGCTGCCATTAGCATTTGCCCAGTTCCTTCCTGTACTTTACAACAGAACTGCCTCCCATTTCTGCTTTTTCCTGAAAATACTGCCAACCCCTTATTGCGTGACTTGGATTGAAGCTTAACATTGCTGCCCACAGAGCATTCAGCATGCCTTTATAGGCATGGAGAGGGGAAACAGGCATTACCAAACATGAAATAGAAGCATAAGAGGTATGGCAGGTTAAAGGTGCCTTGGACTGTGACCAGTCTTATTTTTAGGTGGAAATCATAGCATTCATTCATTACTGGCAAAAGCAACCCCTAAAACAGATAAGAAAACCCACACAACCCATCACCTTGTAATTTTCTAGAGTGCTTTATCCTATAATACATGAGAATTTGAGGCCCACCTTTCCCACACACAGAAGTTATCCTCAGGTGTGCAGGTATGTGACCCCTAGGTAACCAAACTCAAGGGCTTGGAGAGGTTGGTAGTTAACTGAGGGAGATGACCTCCTGCAAGCCCTGATGAGCTTTATCAGTGCTCAGCTGTTTGGCTCTCAGGTGAAGAGGAAGGTCAGAAGGGTCCAGCTCAGTACCCCCATCCCATCATGACTTACGCAGGGCACGGATGGACCAGAACTGTTAATCATGTTCACCGGCCACCAATGCTTCAGTATGAGAATACAAACTGCTTAATCAAACTTTTAGAAGTGGAAATATGCACAATTTTTCAGCAATTAATTTCTCAAGACAGATTTTCTTCCACCCACTTATTTTCCTTAATTATTTAAAACCTTCCTTACAAGTAAGCTCAAACTTATCATGATATGCGTGCTTCTTACTAACGAGGTATATCTTTATTATATTCTGAACCTTGTGTCTATCTGATACTGAACAGACTGACACTGCCTTTTCAGCTTTTACTTGACAACTGCCCTAGTTTAAGGATTCACACAGTAGTTCTGTCCTCTCACTGTAGTTTACTACACATGGAATTTTGGTTTATGAAAACCATTAACATGTCCCTTGTAGTCTGGCACAGCTGAAGCATAGTGATAAACATGTACACCTATTTCAGTTTGAGGTTTTTTTAAAAAACCTCAGATAGCTAATGGGGAAGGCAAGCAAAACTTTCATTTTCCTGTCTTTTTTTCAGAGGAAAAATAACCAAAAGATTTTCAGCTTTCTGGCTTGCTCTTGGAAACTTATTTTTTGTAAATAAAAACCTAGAGAAAATATACACAGTAGTAATACAGCAAGAACGGAAGATTCTTTTTCTTGTTACCTTTGTTTCTACAGGTTGATCTTGCTTACTGATTTCCTCAGTTGGCTCTTCCTTCATGTTAGTATTAATTTCTAGAGTTTCATTTTCAGATGGGAGCAGTGTATCACTGCTTGGAGTCCTGTAGCAGCTCTTAAGCATCTGTCCTTCACAGGCAGTTATGCTTTGCAGTGACTCTCTGGAAGTACTTTCTTTTTCCCCATTTATCAAGCTGTTGTTGATGGCATTATCTGGAACCGGGGTGGTCACAGCAGAGCCACAATCTGGTAACCTCCTGTCCTCATCTTCCATCTGGTCTTGTGCTACTACTCCATTGGCAGTGTGTATTTGTGCAACCTGAGTTTTGTCAGTATTACCATTTCCCTGTTTTGGTAGTGGGTGCTGGGCGGGGAGTTTTGGCTGAGGTGGTGGTGTTAACCCATATCTTCCTTGAGATTTAGAAATGTGGAGAACAGAGGAATCTTTCTTCAAATCACTAGGATTTAATGAGCTAAAAACAACAAACAAATAAAACATAGATTAGAGGAAAGATAAACATGGTGTTGCAGAAAATCATGGGGAGTAGGAGAGTTGCACCATATAACAAATCCTCCCAACCCCTTTTTTTCTGTGTTAATATTAGGAAGTTCAGGCTATTGAGACTTGAAATACATTATTCCATTAACACACACACAAACATGCATCTCTTACTGGAAACTCAGAGTGCCATCCATATCAATTCACTACATCCTCATGCGTCTTGAATCTCCTTTGTAAAATGGAAGGCAGTAAGATCAGCTTCATGTGACAGACAGGGGAACTGAGGCACTGAGACATGAAGCAAAGTGTTCCAGAAGATTATTGGCAGAAATGTAGAAAGACTCACAGTCTCTCAAGCCTCAGTCCAATGCTTAAATTAACAAGCAGCCTGGTTACCTAATTACCCTTTAATTACACAAAATGCATGAAAAACGTCCAAGAACATTTAGTATCCCTTTCCTTAGTTCAGCATATTACAGGAAGAGCTTTGAATTCTTATCCCATTTCTTCCACCAGTTTCCTTACTTAGCAGTGTCCTTTTATCTTACTGCATCTTTCCTGTTGCTTTTTTCCTTCCATATTTTACCTCCACTTTAAACATATTTTATCCCTGTTCATACCTTTAACCATCTCTGTCTCACATTTATTTTTGAGATTTTGAATGTTAGGCCAGTGTAAGTGGTAGCCTACTCTGTAAAAGTGCCTGCCTTCATTATAATAAAAAAAAAAAAAAAAAAACAACAAACAAAAAAAAGCCCAAAAAACAAAAACACACATACCAAAAAAAAAAATAAACCCAAACAAAAAAACCAAAAAAAAACCCCATTGGAATCAAAACAAAACCTATACATTTTTGCCTTAAGTACATTTTACAAGCCATATTCAACTTGCAAAACAGCAGCATGACTGTCCTCCAAACATATTGTTCCTCATACGGACCATTAATCTTTGAAAAGATGAAGACTGCTTATAAACTGTATGTTTACTCCTTATAGGACAGTTATGGCAAATATTATAAAACATGTCCTGCATGTCCATATTCAGAGCTCAAAAAATATCTTATGCCAGGTTCATCTGCTTCTGTCATATAAGAGAAAAAAAAAAACCAAACCTAAATCAGTTTCCCTTTACTTATGTAAAGATCATGCCTCTTAAAAAAAAGCTTAACACCAAGACTGAAAAGCATAAATTAATTCTACTGCCTGCACACAGCAAAGAGGTTTAATTAACTTTCTATCATACCTACATGCTTATGGGCTACATACAACAATGAAAATAAGTTATCATAATTGACAATCAGTTTTCAGTTCATGAAGATGCTATCTAGTCATTTGAGGACCAATTATTTAAAATGAAGTTCACCTTCACGGAAGACACATTTTGTGAGCTGCGCTCATTTTAAAAACAGGAATTGCTTCCACGGCCACAGCAGGATATTCCAGAACTCGGCATGCTAATTATGGAAGTTACTCATAAGCAGAGATGACGGAGTTGAGAAGAATTTAATCATTGGACACAGATGATTGGGTGTACTTAACAGATGATGTTCGCCAAAAACCGATTCCGCTTCCCGTAGTCCCAAAACAAAACATCCCTACTTGTAAAAGTCGACAAATAAGGAAGTTTTCCTTACTTTCTTTATCACTTCCTTTAACTGCACAATATTGAAAAGTTCCTGTACAATGCAGCAAGAATGTCAGGAGGAAGAAATGTAGTGCTCACTGGTGTAGGGCACAATGAACCTGAGAACTTTCCTTTCAGAAAGGGTAAAATTGTGTTTCTAAGGATTCTATGGTGTTAAAAACACTTGTGTGATGCTTTGGAGGAAGACTAGGGAACAAAGTGATAACAGGACTAGAGACCCGTGCTAGAAGAATTCACAGGACCTCAAGTGCTGCAGTAATTTATTTTTCCTATATTTGAGCAGCTGTCATGACAGAGTGCAATTAAGTCCCTGTTTAATGACAGAAGTTTCTTGCAGACAAAGCTCTGAGATTATTTCTGTTCCACTACACAAACGTATTTTTGCAATGCTCAGTTGCTTCTGTATAAAGAATTAAATTTCCCCCTTTTCGAGGGGAAATTCTTCAATGAAAGCCTTAACACTCTGGTTCCTCAGAATGACATGCTCTGTTACATGCATTTGTTCCCATAGGGGTCATCCCATCAGAACATCAGTATCCTGAGGAAACAAAGAAAGCCACATCCAAAACCTGCAAGGCTCAGCTGTCACCAGACTGTTTCTTGAGCTATACCTCTGTTGTGGGCTTTCTGGGAAGTCGCTCTCTTTATATAGGGCGGATATATTAGGAACTTCAGTTGCTTTTAACACTTGTCACATACAGCTAATTAAAGGCACACAAGTAACACTTTTGTGAAAGCCAAGTTCCCTGTGGCTTATGTTCCCCAAAGCTTCAAATGTTTCCTGTAAGAGGCAGTATCAAAACTCAAGAATACCAAGGTAATCCACCAAAATCACCACGTACTACAAAGCGGTTTAAAGAATGTATGCCACATCAATACAAATAACTTGTACAGTTCACCCTCTTCACATGAATGATCTGAATAGGCTGAGACACTATAAAAGAAAAAAATCTGTATTTCAGGTTTTTCTATTTGCTTCTAAAAGTAAATATTTTTTTCTGGGAAAAAAAAACCCACAAGAATTTAAATCCACTGTTTCATTCTAAATTCAACAGTTATTTCAAATCGCTGACATTTTCCAGGATGTTTTAAAAATGCCCTAAGTTAGTTCATTTGGTGTTTTTTTGTTGCTTGTTTTTTAGTGAGTTTTGTTTGGTTTGGTTTGGTTTTGGGGAGGGATTTGTTTGTTTGGTTTGTGGTTGTTTTTTTTGTTGCTTTTTAGAAAAATTAAGACTAGAATACTATCACCTTAAGAAAAAGCACACTTTGTACAGGTCAAATATACAACTGGCTCACATCATTTCAAAACACATGCAGTTTTGCCATCAACTCCTCTGGCAGCGATGGCTTTGAGCACTACCACAATACCAGTGTTCTTTCTCACAGGTTTAAGTTCCAACAATCCACACACAACAGAGTTACAAACCAATTCAAATTCTATCACATACCTGCCTCCCTCAAAACGATTGATGAGATCTGATACTTTACTGGACTTTTCCTTTGCAACACCAGAAACAGTGGTGGGAGTCTCTTCCTCCATTCTTGGTTTCTGATTTGATAAAGCTTTATGCCTAGGGGTTTGGTATGTAACAGGTGATACCTTCTGCAGATGAATTGGCTTTGGAGGCACTGCAAACAACAACAATAATCAATAATACATGAACTATGTCTTCAAACTCTCAGAACACATATGAGATTTCTGCATAGGAACATACAACAGTAGTGAAGAAAATATGGCCTTGGCTTTATTTAACCTTAAAGTTGGTTTATGAATACAGGGACTTCCTATAGGGATTTTATGCTCTGTCTGGTATCAGGCATCTTGTTACATTTCTTGGATAAAAGACGAACCATATGCTACCTTAACAAGCTAGAAAACTGAGGGGATTTTGTGCTTGTTTGGGGTTTTTTTATAGTGTACTGCAGCAAACCCATATATGGCCTCCATAAATGCAGGTTTTCTCATAAAAACCAATTAAGCATAATCAAAGGATCTAGTTGTGCTGTGGAGCTCAAGAGAGAGATTTAAATTGCTGCCCCAAAACTCTTGTGCTTTCATTCTCTACCTTCTCCCTCATGACCTCATTAATAACAGTCAGTGGAAAAGGTATTTGCCTTTGACTTTGAGCTTTCTTTACTCAATGAACCTTTGTCTATTTATACTCCTGAAAACCTGCCCCCCTGAAAATACGTCTTCTTATTCTTGTTTTTTCCCCATCCCTACCATAAGTCCTTCTAATTAGATCATTAATGATCAGCCATTGTTTAATACAGCAGTGACATAAAAGACAAGGTGACATATAAAGCAACTGAAGTCACAAGTACTGAGGATCTTTAACTTTTATCCCTTTAAGCAACTTTGCAGCATCAGTGGGCAGCAAAAGCACTTCACAGACTTGGCCTAGATGTGTTCCATTATCAGAGCAGTGCACCTTTGGCTCCATTGAAAAGAGAAACTTAATGGAAAGTTCCTTAATTCCCAAGAATACAACTCTCTTCTTTCCCACACAAACTCCCAAAACATTGTGGGGAGAAATTAAAGCGTTTGATCTGAAATTGAAAAATAAAGACTATATCTGGCCTTTAATAAAAGACAGGCATAAACTGGCAGGAGTTGGGGCTTGGCCACCTTTCCACAGGTGCCACAGTCTAGTGTGCCACAGGCTCCATCTCTCCAGTAACTACACGGACCTGCCAGGGAGCAAATGTGAAGTGAAAGAGGACAAGAATCAGCATTAGGAATCACTCTTGTGGTAGAAAAGTAAGTACTAATACAGGATACACAATAAGTGGATGTGAAAAAGTCACCCATATTCCTCACATCACTGACTCTAGTTTAGCTTACTGACCTTATCCTGGAAAACCTGCACACCACAGAAATTAGCTTAAAATCCCATCAACTGATATTTGAAAGTGCTGTTGAAAAAATTCTTGCAAATATACTATCATAGACTGTGATAAACTTGAAGGAACACATGATTAAAGGCAACTTTCCATCTCTAGCTTGCATTATATTTATAGGAGGTAACATTTCTCTGTGCTTTCAATAACCTAATTGCACGTAAGTGGGACTGTAGCAATTGCTGTGGTCTGAAAAGTACCATGTGGGACTCTCTCAAGAAATGAATGTACCACAAAAGGCTTTAGACTTCAACCATATCAACTACACTGCTGATAAATGAAATTATCAGAGGGAGAAGGAAGAGAACTACCGTAGACCAGATGCTTTTACTGTGTATATCTGTATTTTTTGTTCTATTAAGCTTGCTCTTATATTTAACATAAGCAAAAAAGCAAGTTTGGGGAAGGATGCAGTGCAGAAAGAATGACTTAAAAGAATACAATTTTCAAATAGTTACAATGCATGAAACAAGCAGAACTGCTTGAGCTTCTGTAGTAACTAAAGCCCCTTCTGAGGAGCCGCATACATTTGCTCAGCTGCAGTGCGGTGGAGCAGCTTTCCCTATATTTCCTCTTCCCAGGGAGTTCAGAGAAAATCTGGCAGAATTAGGCCAACGAGCATCAGATAATTGTCCAAGCACTGAATAGCTTGCTATGCTGACAAAGATGATGGGACAGCTGAAAAAGGCGACACAAGCAGGCTGGGGAAAGCAGGACACATAATTGAGCATGGGCACTGCCGTTCCCTCGGGGAGGAGATGGAAGGGGAAGCGGGGTGGATTTACTGACCAGCACTACACTAGCTTGTAGAAACACTTCTTGATCTTGCAATGGATTTTGTACAGCCTGCGGTCCTGTGAGTTCTCTTATTTAATGGACTCATACATCTCTTTGATTCTTTAGTACATCTCATAAAATGTTAATATCCTCACAAGGATATATTAAGATGAGTAAACTGGAGGGAATTAATGTCTACTGATAGAGCAGAAGGAATTAGTTGGAAGCTATTTTTACACTGGATCCACTGGGACAAAAATCAAATTCTAGGACATTCCGTGGAGGTGTTGCACACTTTTGCAGCTATTACTGAGAAACCCTCAGCATAGCAGCATTACAGTAGGGCAAACACAAGGAACCTCTGATCAAATTGCACAGTCCCAGTATATTGAAAATCCCTGTAATATCTTCAGAGGAGAACCACAAACCAAACAGCAACACTAACTAATGCAAGATATTTTCTTCTTTACTCTCTATGACCATCTAACAATCAACATTTCCCCTAATCAGCTGCTGCTGTAGCTACTGTAAGTTTTAGAAATAGAGCAATGGGGAAAGGGCAGTCACAAGATCAATAGAAGGAAATGAATCAGTAGTGTAAAAAAATAAAAACAAACAAACAAACAAAAAAACCCACAAAAAAAACCCCAAACCCCAACAAAACAAACCTTCCTGTAAGGTCAACCTTGTTAACAGGGATTATGGAAAAGAAATTCTATTAATTCTGCTCTCAATGTACTTCTGTAGTGCTTTGTTTTAATCAGATTATTTTTCAATGTGCACACAGCAAAGATCTTAAAGAAAAAACAGAAAAAAAAAAAAGACTGGCCCATTGTAATACCCTGCATAATACAGAGCTCTGTTTGAGTCTATAAATACTCTTGTCTCTATACTGTAGAATTTTGAGCTCATTAGGAGATATGAACTGCATACTCTGCCTAAAGAAAGCCCCTCGGTATACTCAGGTAGCTGCTACTGCATAATGCTAGTCAAAATGCTTAATCAAGATTTAAGCTGTGATGCCTAATTGTGCACTAAACTTTGTACATGTACATAAGGAAATTGGAAGTAATGCTACAAATGGCTGAAAAAGTGCAACCACTTTTGCTGACTCCAAAGCATATTAGCAAAGATCATGTATATCTTCTCTTAAAAAGTATAATGTGTTCGATCTCCCTCTACACATTTAACTCCTGCTGGTCACAAATGCTGATACACTTTGATTCAATGAAAATACACAGTTGAAAGTTCATGCAATAAGCAACTACAACTCTGCTGGCTGAGTCATGCTTCAGCACCTCCTTGCATGCTCCATCACCTTCAGGAAGATCAAATGAGCACAGCTGGATAGATACCAAAGATTTACATTAGCAAGAACAGTACAAAGTGACCTCAGCAGAAAGAGAGAAAAAGTTCTCTCCTCTTTAGGGTGTACATTTCCACACTGTTTTTTTATCACATCAGAACAAGTATCTTCCAATAACATATTAAGAAAGACCAACAATGATCGGATGTGCTTTATTCATTCTTCTTCTCCTGAGAGATAACATTTGGGATTTAGCAGTTTTGTTGATAAGAAAGGAATTGTTACAGTTTTCTTAAAGTACCAGTGAGACTGGAGAAATCTAGCTAGAAATAGCTCTTCGTTTTAGCTCAATTCACCTTTAATTGTAGAAGTTTCATTTGCCAAACAAGTACAGTCTACATCCCAGACCTTTAAAAGGCATTTCAAGTTTTCTGGACACAGGCCATTGAATACCTTTGAGACCACAGGCTGTGTTATAATTGAGAAAGAAGAACGGGACTGATGTTACATAGTAGATAGTCAGTTACAAATGACTGCTGAAGTCTGCATGTTGAATGCTTTGTGTCTGTACCACTTCCCAGTAGCACAAACCAGGCCATCTTCTGAAGTGGAAAATTATTTCCAACCCAAACAAAAATGTTTCTTCAGCCTCAGCAGGAGATTCACAAGTACTCCTAAGCGCTCATTAGGAAAATTTAAATGAGCAACTGACACGCAGTCTTGAACTGACAATACACTTCACTGCTTTGAAGAAGTGTTGACATTTCAACGTATTTTCCATCCTACAATAAAAATGCCTGGAACACACAACAGTTTCAGTGTCTAGTATTTAGTAATTGGGCATCATATAAAACTCATGCAGGAGTTTGAAAGAGCAGGGAATAGAAAAAACTAGGAAAAAAACCTAGTTAATTTGTAGATGTCCTCTACATGCATTCTGCTATTGCTAGGTTAAGATTGTTGCCCATGTATTTGCAGTTAAGGGCAAATTCAAAACTACCTAACAATTTGCTTCATCTGTTGTGCATCATATTTGCTTTGGAACTCAGTAGTATATTTTGCTGTTTCCACTTACTACCTCCAGTCAGGATTAGTTCACTTTATCAGAGAATGGACTACATTGATGAAAAGGTGAAGCAGCTGTTTCACAGCTGGTACAGACTGCAGCTGCTTTTCTTCACAGTCCTGGTATCTTTGCTTAACATCCTTGTTGACCTTCAGTCAGTTTCAGGATTTGTCCCAAATTTACATGTATCAAACTGCATTCAACACATAAATCTGACATATGAATTGCTAAATTATTAGTGAAAGGAATTATTGTGGAACATATATTGCTCTTTTACTATGTATCACACAGCTAGTTATTTTGCTCCTTGAAATGCTAGGGGAAAACCAAGAAAATTAACAGAAAGAATTTTGTATTGGATTCTGTGCAGAAAGTTATTCACTTGATCTAGATACCCTACATGACCTGTTTCCAAATATTAAAACTACTTCTCAGAGGCCAAGTACAGACAACAGGTTCAGAGCCCAGGGTTCACTTCAAGTGCAAAATTTTGGACATTTTTCCTCTATAGTAAAGCTTTATTTTCTCTATTAAAGCTGAGTTTACTAAAAATAGCTGTACCTCACTTGTAACACAACCTCAAAGTCATCTTTATTTTTCTCATTTTGATTACATACGTTCTGGTAGGTCAGACAAAGGTCATTTTGCAGTTAGTTCAACAACCAAATATACTGTCATTACAATTCAGGTCTGTCATCTTGTTTCCTCTCACTATGAAAGGACACTTAGTTACTTGCATGATTAGAACAACCAGTTGGAAAAACACTTTCTGCTACTATAAACCAAAAATGTTTCTGCACCTTTAGATGAAAAGCTCTTACACCAATAAACTAGAACAATTTCATTTGCTTGGATTGTCTGGATTCCTAAATGCCTATCTCATTCATTTTGTTTTGTTTTGCTTCAACTAAATAGAAAGGCCAAAAATATGTACTGTATAACTTCAGTATGATGCACATATTTAATAGAAATAAATGGAGAAAGACATAGGCCCATCAACAAAGCAGACACAAAATACTATTTACAACAGTATTATTGAATATAATCTACACAGCTGCATTTCTTAGACTACAACACTGGCAATGCCACGTTTCATAGCAAGCAATGTTGACAAACACAGAAGTCATGGCTTGGAAAGCATAACAACAGCTGTGTAACTACTTGAATGAATAGGGTTCAGTAATATCCAACTCCTAATTTATCTAACAGCTAATATTTATAATAAGTGGGCTGGCGTTGTTTTTGAAAGGCTTAAAATCTTTTTATTGAGTGTCCATTTCTGTTTATCCATTAACAGATTCCTAAAATATTTTTCTTAGAAAGAATACATGCTCTCTTGTTAACTTAGCTGCAGAGAACACACTTCAGAGACCTAGAAACTGGTGCAGAAAGACTATTCAGATAAGTAATGTTTACATATGACTGATAAAAACATCTTAGTTTAGTGAGCAATAGTGAAAAAAGTTCTATAAAAACAAACAACACAAAACCTACAGCTTTGGTTTGCTCTCTAAGTAAACAAAACTTTCTTGACACCCCAATAAATTTATTCCCTCCTTAACTCTAAAATGGCCTAATGCAAAATTCTTCAAGATATTTTTCCATTAAGTGATACACAGATTGTTTAATCTATTACATGATAACTCTACATGACTCCAGCTTCCTACATGATTTAAACATAATCTAGTTTTCTATAAGTAATTCTAGTTTCTGCCATATCAGTCACATCCAGTTCACTGAGCAGGATCATAGTCTTGCTCTTTTTTTAACTTTTGAGAAGAGTGAAATTCCTATTGCATGTCACACCTGAAAGATATCAGTCCTTTCAATTCTTTCAATTCAAGATTTCCAGAACATACTGACTTTGTTGTGATCAGCCTCAGCAGAATCATCAATATTACTGAGAAGACCAAATAAAAAATTATTTTAGATTTAGATATCTAAAGTCAAGATGTAGGTGGACCTATTCAGCTTTTAAAAGTGAAGATGCCATTTATGGACAGAAAGAAGGGAAATCTCTTTCTATTCTGCAGATATTATTGGTCAGCTTTTACAGCACAAACACAAAGCTCACATACACCCAGCAGAATGGCCCTTCTTGAGCTCCAGTAGAACCCCAAAGGTCCTGAATATCCTCACCACCACCACCAGCAGCCTGCCAAACACTCCCATTCGAAGATAGTACCAAAACCTTTCGGCTCACATACAGTAATCCTTTCAAAAGATAAGCCCTGGCAACAGTTTAATACAAGCAAGCGGTCTGCACATGTTCTCCCATCTCTACCTGCTAGACCTATGTGCTTGTAACACATTAGTAAGTTCAACCTTCCTTCTGAGAACCTTTTTCATCAAAATGTTACCAGAAATTACAGATTCATAAAGCATTTATGGAACATCTATATTTCATTGGCAAGCTTTTACCCCACTATTTTCTTTCTGAAAAATACAGTTCTTTCAAGGTGCTCTATTTCTCTTAAAGTCTGAGATGAAGAATACCTTCCCTAACAAAAATATTTGAACCTACTTACCTTGTGGCTTTGGATTTGAAGCTGAACGTGGGTGCTGCCTGACTGGCACACTTCCATTTATTCCCTGAGGTGCTTCATTGTGCACATTCTGCTCAACTGGCCTGGTTGTGCCACCCGCTGTATAGGGTCTAGATAATATTAGAGACTTTGGACAGATGCTGCTGCCTGAAAAACAAATTTATACAAAAACCGTAAGAGTTAGAAACAGGTTTAAATATAAGGTAGAATGACTATAAACCCATTTATTAAGTGCTCACGTTTTTCTACAGAGAAAATTAGAATACTCATCTTTCCTTTAAGAGTGTCTCATCCTAAAAACATGCTTTGCCTTTCACCACAATTTGTTATCTTGTTTAAACCTTGAAGAGCTGGATATAAAAGATGACTTCCACCATGACTAACCTAAGCTTTTCTATAGAAAGATTACAATATCTAATAGACTTTTCCCCATTTGAATTGTCAATGTGCTTGCTCAACAGAACTACAGAAAAATCAGCATTTTTGTTCAGTAATTCTATTTCTGTAGTAAGTGTTCACAAAATGCTATACATTCAGAAAGTTTATTTTATTACAGAAGGTAGCATCCAAAAATTAGCTAAACGTATTGCAACTTTTTTGTAGGAAAGGGCTTCTGAGTGTTTAAAAAAAAAAAAAAAATAGGAGCAAAGTATAAAACCAGGCAACTCTGCTATTTCATTTCTTCTTAACAGAATAGAATTCACTATGCTGCTACTGGTAAAAAAGCTGGAAGAAAAGATAAAGCAAAACATATTAAAAACATAAAAAAAAATTCAAACAATAAAAACTGCAATAAAAGCACTTAATAGAATGTGATTACACAAGCCTAAACCATGGGTTTAGGGTGTGAAAGCAATTGGTTCTGTAAACTCAAAAACCTTGAGAAATAATATTAAGAACCTTGAGATCTCACTTAGGTCTATATTTATTGATCCCTGAATCAAAAAAATCCACAACTTTTTTTGTGGGAAGAAGCACGGGAAAGGAGGAAACACCATTTATTGTTTACTGCAGTGTTGTCATAATTTTTTTCATTTTTACCAAAATGATTTAGTGTACAGCTTGGATACTTCAATTTATTATTATTTGCCATAATTTTGCCTTTGCTTGCTTGTACTAGTAGAAATGCAAGCACGAGTGGGGTTTTCTTTGCATGTTTCCAAAAAAAGCAAATCCAAAACCCACTCAACCATTCTGTAAGGTCATCCTCTGATATCTTCTGAACAACAACTGGTCTGCAGAATCTGGACCCTCTGATCTAATCAATCTCTCCCCATGGCAAAATCCATCATATCAAGCCATTCCTAGCAACAGCCAACCCTGCTCTTAAAAGAGCAATGGAAAGAGACGCCATAGTTATTGCTCAATGCTGCTTAAAGATTCTTCAACATTTTGTGGATTCCAACAATGTTTTCAAGTATTTTTTTCCTTCTATTTCTCAGAAGCTTATTTTTCCTTTTAAGCATTGAAGTAGCCCTACACCAAGAAGCTGGTCCCAGAACGACGTGAATAATCTAACGAGGCCCATCACATACAGAAGCTTCTCAGACAGTTGTGATCCTAGGCAGAAATTCCTCAGCTCTGTTTCCTTGGGTATCACTCCATACACGAAAAGTTGTATTGTACTACAGTAGTGGGAGCTCTGTCCCACACCAATCCTCAATGCCTAAAAAGCTTTAAGTATTCCTTGTCTCCATCAAAGAGATGGAGGTCAGAACAGAAACATATTTTACACACACAGCTTCATCAAGGCACTTAGTCCTTGTTTAAGGTTATCACTCGTGATCACTTAAAGCCAAGGCAGATGCAGAACTGCTGCTGAGAACAGGCAGCATTGTGGTCTGCTGCTTCTCCTCCCTCTTCATCATCATCTGCTCCAGCTTCTGCTTCTGGCTACTCCTTCCCCTATGCCAGCACCAGCGTTTGTTCAACCACACAAGTCAGATAAGCAGCAGAAATGATGCAGTTGAAACCTAGAGTATATTTTAAGTTGGTTTGACCTCATGGCTGCCCCAGCACTACTGCTGACACAAGGGGACAAGAGAGCTCCTCTCAGCTGCAGCCTTTACTTAGATTGGCCTGAAGCAGTCATTTAAACACAACCCCAGTCCCTCAAGCAGATGGGATTCGGATTTGGATTCTACTTGCTTTACACATGCCACTTTACACATTAAACACTAGATTGGTTAATATTAGTTGCATTCAGTGGGCAAAAGCCATCTTGTAAAGCTCGTCCACTGTAAAACAAAACAGTGACACAGGCAATAGAAAAGATTGCTTCTCTGTAGCAGGCTCTTTTGCAACTGCTTGTGGAAAGCAAAATCTCCAAGATGTGTTCTGACCCAAGGTGTGCTCTGGCTTCACACATGGAACAATTCAGCACAGGGTGGGTGCAGGGAAACAGAATGTCTTCAAATTCATTAGTGTTGTACAAGCCATTACACAAATTATTCACCCTGTCTGGAAGCCATATTTGCAGGAGACAGACATGGAAGTGGTGGATGCTCCATCCCTGGCAGTGTTCAAGGCCAGGTTGGACAGAGCCTTGGGCAACATGGTCTAATGTGAGGCGCCCCTGCCCATGGCAGAGGGGTTGGAACTAGATGATCTTAGGGTCCTTTCCAACCCTATTCTATGATTCTATGCTGCAGACGTTTAACTTGTATTTCAAACCAGTAATTCTGTTAATCATGTCACATCCTCAAGCTATGTGTTTTGAAGAGTAATATAGCCAGCTATATTGAACAGCTTGCTTTATATACAAAGCTGAGATGGAAAAAGGTAATGGAAATCTAGCCACACTACACTTCTATACAAAATTGACTAGTCAGAATCTCTGGATAAAAAGCACCCTTTAACGTTCCTGGAAATCTGAGTCCTGGTTTCCAGCCAGTGAAAGATAATACCTTCCAGATGATGCAGACAAGAATATTGTGGCGGAAATACAGGGATTCTCACCACAGGCTTCTATCAAGTGTATTGTATGCATGTGTATTATAACAAAAGCCAAAAACATGTAGCTTTCAGCACATTACAAAAATACCAAATACTTGCTCCGCAATGCAGCATGCATTTCAGTAGGGCTGCTCAATTCCATCTGTTTAAGTAAGCAGTAACATAGTTGACCTTTTAGAAATACAGTTGTTGCCCTGTACGTACAACTTAAAATCCCTTTAGGTATGCAATAGGTCAGAAATGCTGCAAAAACCTGCAGCTTTTACCGGGCATGCCATTGTGATTATTTCTGACCTGATTAAAGAAACACTTGCATGTTTCTGCTATTTCTATGCGTTATAAGAACCGAGAAATTTTACTTGAAATCAGAAATGCAATGCACAACAAAATACTACCCGCCAGTTACTGTGCTTGCTAGGACATGATTAATACCACCTCTTATAATCCAAGATGATTAAATACTTTGAAGAGGAAAGAAAAGTGTGGAAATATTTAAGAAAATTTGAAATTGGGGCTGGCTAGAACATAAGTGATAAAGGAGGTAATAAATAACTAACAGAAAAGAGAAATAAACACTGTAAATTTGATAAGCACTTAATTATTTTGCTTATCATCTGCAAGGAAATGAGCAGCTAGAATGCTTGCAAACATGCTTGCATATGCAAGAAAGTTTGAAGCTAGTTGATGCATTATCTATTTTTTCAGAGCATCGTAATTAGAAATAACTTGGAGCTATGAACATTTAGATAATCAGCCAGCTTGAAATGCCAGTAACATGAAAAATGGCTTATTTATATTCACAAAAGGTTAAACTACTGTTTTAGTATTGGATAGGTCCTCCATCAGCAGTTCCATGACCTTCAGAAAGACAATCTCAACACCATTATGTCTTCTGTTATATTCATTTTCAGTCCTGAAAGGAAGAACATGGAAACCCAGTCAGAGGTCCCTCATAAACATGTTGCTGTCCAGGCACCTGGCTGTAGTGAGTGCCAGAGCCTGCTGGTGATGTTAGATGGTGGCTGTGTAAGATGTTAGCAGGTTGATGATTTACTCTGCATGGCAGCAGAGCTACAGGAAGAGGCAGAACGGCTAAGGAGCATAAGGGAATCTGAGGAGGAGACTGACTGGTGGACCTGCTCTCTACCATCCCTGAGAGAAGCGAGCCAACCACCTGAAACAAAAGAACTTCAGGATCCCCTACCTTCTTGCCATCAGGCAGATGGAAGGGACCTAGGAAACAGGGGAGGTTGGAAAGGGGTTACATCTCAGAGTAGACAGCATACTATCCCCCAGCTCACGTCACCTTCCCAAGTACCCCTCTACAACAGATTCAAGGTCCTGGTACTTCAAGACCAAGAAAGTGAGTAAGATGAGAAGAGATCATCCAGGTCAGAAGAGTTCCCACAGAACAGTTGGAGAACACATTGTATTACTACCAGCTCTACTAGGAAAAAAACCCAACACAAGAGTGGTTATGACTGGACTCCACCCTGAGAGGAACAGAGAGCACGATATGGCAACCTGACCCAACTCACAGAGAATTCCACTGCCTCCCTGGGGCCAGGGTAAGGGCCTTCCCCAGAAAACTCACCCATCCCGTATGGCCCTGCGACTACTATCCTTTATTAGTCTTCCAGGTGGGCAATGAGGAAATATCTTAAAGAAGCCTAAGGGGACTCAAAAAGGACTTTAGGGCCTTGGAGTGACTGGTTCAGGGTTCGGGAGCCCAAGTAGTGTTCTCATGCCTCCTGACAGTCACAATCAGTGACAATGGTTACATCAAAAAAATGTCACTAATTAATTCCTGGCCCCATGACCGGTGTCAGCATCAGAATTCTGGGGGTTTTGACCATAAGCCAGTTTACATGGCACCAGGCCTGCTAGAGGCAGGTGGTGTATGCCTGTCCCAATAGGTGAAAAGGTGTGTTCTTCACTGGGTTGGAAAATGTCTAGATGGCCAAGACTGAACAGTGGTGGTAAATAGCATCACATCTAGTTGGCGACCGGTCATAGTGGTGTCCCTCAGGGCTCGGTGTTAGAGCCAATGTTGTTTAATATCTCCATTGATGATCTGGATGAGGGGATTAAGTGCAGCCTCAGTAAATTCATGGACGGCACCAAGTCGGGTGGGAGAGTTGATCTGCTGAAGGATACGAAGGCTCAGTAGAGGAATCTGAACAG